TCGTCCTCGGGCGGCGGGCGCGCGCGTTCGGTTCCGGGGGGCGCGAACTTCCGCGGCGCCTCCGGCGCGAACCGCGTCGCCTCGAGGCCGCCGGCCCGCGTCCACCGGAGCAGCGTCCCCGCGGGGGCCTCGGCCCAGGCGCCGGGGTCGACGTCGTCGCGGCGCACGGCCGCCGACGCGACGACGACGCCGCCGCGCTTCCCGCGCGCGTACCAGAGCGGCGGCGGCGGCCGGCCGTCGCCCGGGGACCGGAACCGCAGCGCGACCGCGCCGGCGCCGTCGGCCGCGACGAGATTCAGCGACGAGGGCGGCGCGTCGGCGGCGACGAGCGCCGCGAGCCGCCGCAGCGCCGCGGCGACGTCCCGCGTCTCGTCGTACAGAGAGACGAAGACGCGAAACAGGAACGCGCTGTCCGAGTTGCCGCAGTCCAGCGCGCCCGCGGCGTCCGCGCGCCGCGCGGCCTCGCCGCCGCTCTTCGCGAGCGCGCGGTGGTGCGCGAGGATGCCGACGTGCGCGAAGACCAATTCTCCGCGCGCGAAGGGCTGGCAGTTCGGCTCCGACGCCGGGCAGTACGTCGTCGCCGGGCAGCTGTCGCAGGCGCAGCTCCGCACGTGCGCGAGCGCGACGCGGCCACCCGCCGCCGCGGCGACGCGGCGCACGTTCAGGTCGTCGAGCGGCGGCCGGAGCGTGACGACGCAGCCCGCCGGCCCGCGCACCGGGAGCCACGCGACGCCGAAGCCGTGGAGCCGCTCGCCGCGCTGCAGGCCGAAGAGCTTCGACCGAGTGGTGGACTTCGCCTTGACGAGCGAGTCCAGCGGGATGTCGTCGGCGCCGTCGCCCGCGCAGGCCAGGAGGAGGCGGCACATATGTGGTGATGGTCGCCTTTGCTTCTTGCCTTCAACGTCCATCGTCGCTACCCACCGACTTCTTGTCGCGTAGGCGATGGCGCGCCGGCCGCCGAGACCGTCCATCATCTCGCCGGGCACGGCGAACGCTCGGCCGGCGGTCGCAGGCGACTAGCATGTTCACGGCCGTCCGTTTCGCGTTCCCTCTCTCCGGGACGCGGCAGCCGCGTTTGCAGCGCGACGGCTGCTTGGGCTCAGTGCCGTCGCCTCCGTTCGTGATTTCGGTGAGCGCCATGGTGCGTGTGGCGCGGCGCGTGAGAGCTGCTGACGGAGATGGCCTCGAACATCTTGGTGCGCGTGGGCATCTGGAGGCCTATCTGGCGCTGCTTGAGGATCTCGTCGACCACGCCGAGGTGGACGAGACGTGGCAGGACTACGACCCCGCGGGCAAGAAGATGGCCACGGCGACGATCGCCGCGCCCCGGCGCCGCGGGCAACGCGCGCCTCGACGCCCTTCAGCGCGACCTCGCGCACGGCGACGAAGACGTGTTTTCGGTGGTGTTCAAGGTCGCGGACTCAGTGGGCGACCTGGAGCAGGACGGGGAGATCCGGGACGTCCACGAGAAGGGCGCGGAACACTGGCAGACGCTCAGCGAAGTTCCGCGCCCTAATCGAGCGACTGAACGCTCGGCGCGAAAGAGCCCGTATAGTGCTATTGTGCGATCGCGCGGGGCTCACACCGCGACACTCTGGAGCGGCGAGTCAAGCGGCTCTAAGCGGCGAGGACCTCGAGCTCCGGAGCTCCGGCCCGCCTCAAGAAGCCTTCAAGAATTTAATTTGCCTTACGGCAACATCGACCAACTTGCCTCGAACCTGTCATTTGCGAGTCGCTGACAAGGACATCGTCCGCGCATCGTCGCGCCACCACGGCCAAGCGCAAGCATAGTAGCATGGA